ACGTTCAGCAAGTGACTAGGAATGTCGGTGGGTGCAATTTTTTTTTTTCTGCATGGAGAAATTCAGTTCCACGCCTTTGCTTAATCTGCACTTTCATGTCAGATGCCATTTTGCCAGAGTGCCCCTCTGCTGCCATCTGTCACAGCAAGTAAATGTAATGGGATTTTGGTGGAAAGGTTCAGTCTCTACTGCCATAGTACCAACGTCTGCTTCTGATGTTGTGGGCCAACGTTAAGGAAAGAAATAGAAGAGAGGTTGGCATTACTTTTGGAGAAGCCGTCATATATGGATATGTATGTATATATGTATATTTACATGTGCACAGACAAGATCACTTCCAGCAGAAAATTTAGCCATCTTAAACCTTCATGATTTTTTTATCTCCATATATGCTGTTCTGCTTATTACTACCTTGAGTTTTGACATGCTTATAACTAGAAAAAAAAAAGATGTAGCTTGTACTGTAATAATGAATTAAGTTGTAATTTGTCATAATAGAGGCTATTCAGATCCATTTGAATAGGTTATATACCCTGTAAAATGTCTTTGAATAATATTTACATAGGAGATAATCTGCTTTTTTCTAGGATCTGTAATGCATGGTTTGGGTAGAAATATGCATTCTCATTCTACATATACAATTAATTCATAACCTGATGAAGAAAAATCCAGAATGTGTATTTGACTACCTATGCACATATTAAATCAAAAACTTGCTGTTTGAAACCAAATATGGATTATACATCACTCAAGTTTGGAAGGACACTGACTTGGTGTTAAGTAAATGATTTAGAATTAATAACATTTAAATATTAATATTTTAAGTAAATGAAATGATCACAGCCATGCGTCTCTTCTGTCACTGTCTGTAAATGTCAACCTTCACTAGTATTCCACAGCTATGGGCACTCTAAAATTTAGACATTCTAAAACACATAGTAAGAGATGATTGTTGTTTCAAAAGAGTTCACAGTACGTTCTGCTGAAATCAGTTTGCCTTGAGTGAGATTTGAATGCTGTATCCAGCTTAGTGAAAGTCCTTAATATTTGATTAGAAAAAACTCACATTTTTTCCTTTTTTTTTCTTGCTGACTTTTAAGAGTTTTCAGAACATCTACAAGATCCTCAGATGGGCATTTATTGTATTTCCACAATTCTGCTTAGGCCAAGGTTTAATAGAGCTTTCATACAACCAGATCAAATTTGACCTAACCAGCAACTTTGGAATAGATTCGTATGTAAGCCCTTTTGAAATGAATTTTCTGGGCTGGATTTTTGTGGAAATGGCCCTACAGGGAACAGTTCTTCTTCTTTTACGGCTGTTTTTCCATTGGGATCTCCTCCAGAAACCAAGGTGTGTGTGTTATCATTTGTGTTCTGCCATAGTAGACAGTTAACTAATTTTTAGAGTAAGAAAATGGTAGCATTCCATTCATCTGGGGAGTCTGTTTTATTTGTTTCTAAGTTATTTGAACTAAAATATGTGATGATTTTATACTCTCATGCTCCCATTCTGAACTAAGGATTTCCTTTTCTGATATAAGTACTGCTTCAATGTGTTTATATTCAGTCTAAAGTCCCAGTTGCTGTTTCTTATGAGTAATAGAGTACAACTATGTTTTAGGGAGGAGAAAAATTTAAACACGTATGTGATGTATAAAAAACACAAATACTTTCTGTCTTTCTTGGATTCTGCAGAGGTTGAATCAACAATCTTTGAAGGATTGCAATTAGGGAAATACTCAGAGTATAGTAATGTCCAATTTGTTGTCACTTTCTATTTTAGGGGTCAGCATTTAGTTAACAGTGTGGTCAATCCATCAGAAGACATTGATGTAGAAATGGAGCGACAGCGACTTTCTAGGGGAAGAACTGGTAATGATGTTCTTCTTCTGTACAATCTCAGGAAGTGTTATGGAGGTTTCAATAAGAAGAACACAGCTGTGGAAAACATAAGCTTGGGAATAACAAAGGGAGAGGTAAAGAGGACTTTTTTTTCTTTCAGAGTAACTCTTGACTCTGAACAGTTGTTCGGACCTGCATATCTGCAATCAGAGTATGGTAGATAGCAGTAGAACAGTTTTAATTGTAGCAATTTCTGAAAATTAATAACTTGATAAGAGTAGAATTTTTTGTGATCTTCCAGAAGCAACAGTTTGCATGGTTGTTCTTTTTATTTATTTTATTCAACACTTTATTAGAGTCTTAATTCTTTTATCTTGTTTATCTTAAGCAAGTTAATGTTTTATTGGCTAACATAATAAAATACCAGGGAGAGCAAAGCAGTTCAGTGTCCAGAGAGAAATCAAAGAATATCTAACTCAAATGCAAATTGTGGATAGGATCCTGAGTTTGTCCCAAGGCAAGATTGTATTTCTCATATTGAAATCATTGGACTATTTATCAGTAAAACAGTTAATGAAACAAGTATTTTAAAAGTTGTGGAGTGCTATTTTTAGTCTTAATGCAAACACTGCCATTACTTAAGAAGGTATTCTTTGCAGTGGTGCTCTGTTTGGAGTCACTATCTAGGATGTTCACTGTTCACTGTACGAAGTGAAACAGCTGAGAAATATCGACTCTATAGACTGGCTCTCAAATTGGATATGAAAACCTCAAGTTCAATTCCAGCACTTTATAATAAAATTGATAACTAATGCATTAAATTGTAGAACAGGGGTTTAAGTAAGTGGAGGGTTAGAATATTAGATAAGTCACTTGTAGGAATGTAAGAGTTAATCAAAGCATTTTATTTTATTTGAAATTTATTTTCTGTTGAAAAAGGAATTGCATATACTAAACAATCACATTAACTATTTACAAACAAGACAGGAAATATGAAAAATACCCATTGAAGAGTTAATGCAATGTAGTACATCAATTCTTTTTTTTTTTTTTTTTTTAATTTTTTTATTTTTTTAATCTCTCTTAGTGCTTTGGACTCCTGGGAACAAATGGAGCTGGGAAAAGCACAACGTTTAAGATGATGACTGGAGATATTGTTCCATCTGCTGGGCGTGCTGTTATCCGAACTCCTACAGGGTAAATAATGCAGGGTTGGATCAGATAGTGCTACTGGATAATGCCAGTGATCAAAGACTCAGCAGTCTTCCATCATTTTTACTTGTAGTATAGAGACCTATTTTGTTCCCTTTTAAATGTATATTGCATCATCACTGTCAAGCCTTGTCAGGAAGGGCAGGGATTATGACAGCAGTTATATAGTAGCAAAAGAGTAGTAAGCCTTAGTTTTAACAAAAATCTTCATGTTAGTTATGTCCAGACAAATGGACATATCACATATCACTCCATTCTGCACTGAAATGTTTCCAGTGTTTGAATGGTGATCACTGCTTCAAATGGATACTTTTAAAATATTTCCTGGCACGTGTGTCGTTTAGTGTCATTAATTATTTAATCAATACAGACTGTAATTAGGATCGGAGATAGTCTTAGTCGTATTGAGGCTAACTTTGATGCAGGAATAAGTGAATAATGGCTTTTTTGGCTTAGATATAACCAACATTTACAGATTTTTACTAAGCACATTGTTGGGATGATAAAATTATTTTAATGTCAAGCCAAAGTAAAAAGTCCTTATATTGCACGTATGCTTGTGAGTTTGTATTTTGGGCTCGTAAATGATTTTGAAGTTTCCTTTTTAAATTATGTCTATTTCAAAATATGTCTTTTGAAGAAGTAGAGGTGAGGGTTTAATTCAGAAAATTTTTAAATGAAATATTTTGAAATTTCCAAAATGAGAATTTGCATGTCTGTGTTTTAGAATTTAAATGCTCTTTTACATCAGTATTTTCTCTCTTCTTTAGGAAAGATCCAGTAGATTTAATGATAAAATGAAAAATTCTGTTCAAGAAATGACATGAGAGGGTGTTTATACAGACAGTTGTTTTCATTTATTTCCCAAAACAAAGCAGATTTTTTTTTTCTCAGCAATAATGACCAAAAAAAAAAAAAAAAAGTGATTAAAAATTAGGTAACAAATAAAATTTGCTGTTCTTTGAAACGTGGAGTTGGAATGCATTTACAAAGATATTACAGAGGTCAGAAGAGAATTTGAGATTTGTGGAAATACAATGATCTGTAATGATTTCTAATATGCTATTGTCCTCAAGGGAGTATCTAAGCTTCCAGATTTTGTTTAGATGCTAAGAATTACTCTAAGCTTTAACGGGACTCATCTTTGGTCCTTTCTGCGCTTTCAGGGATCTCACATGGTTTCCCTACACAATGTGATATCACATCTTTGTATAGGAAAATGAATTGATCTGGTGTTATAATTTCAATATCTTAATATTGACTTCAAAGCAAATATAAAGTTATAAGAATATATTTCATTGTCAGGAATATATTTTAATGACAGTTACACTAGGTTTATTAAATACATGATTTATTTTATCAGAATTCCTAAAGGTAACTCTTCAAAAAAATCACAAAACAATTTAACAATGCTTTTTACAAGATTGTTTTAATGCACTTGTAGCTAAATAGATCTAAATTCTTCTGAGAGTTCAACTTTCATATGCTCCTGGTATTTAATAATAAATTTGAAAAGAAATTAATGCCTGATAATTTGTGCTACATAATAATATAATGCATGATTATATTTGTAGCCATCTTGTGTATTACTTTGATTTCTTGCACTGTATTTTTAAAATCTAACATGAATGCATACTGTAAAATGTAATGTTATTTACTGTGAAGTAGAATGTAGATAATGAAATTCGACACATTTAGAAGATTAGAGAGGAAGTCGTAGGAGATGGTCACATTTAAGTGTCTATAATATCTTTGACAATATGATATTTTATTATGATGTTAGTTAGCCAGGGGTTTCATTGTTTCTTCCACAGCTGAAGACAGAAGACCACAAGTGACTGTAAAGCCCATATTTCTATGTTTATTCTAATATTGTAGAGGTGTAAAACTCAAGCAGGAGCTGCAGTTGCACAGTAGCTAACCTTGGCAAAGCAAATTGCTTTGAGGCTAGGAGTAGAGATCTGACTAATTCCAGACTTTGTTGTGTGATATTAAGTTCTGGCAAAACACAATGTAATATGTTGCTGTATTACTGTAAATCAAGCGAGGACAAATTTTTTGTCAACCAGCCAGCCTGAAGAACCCTTTATTAGCACTTGGACTACTGCTGAAATTATTCATCCAAAGCAGAATATATATACATATTTTCCTGCATAGGTTTGATTTATAGTCTTAAAACCAAAAAAGAGAATAAGATTTTGATCAGTGAACCAACTCAATTATCTGTAGCCTGTTGGGAAGATACAAAGATGCTTGTGATAAGTTTTGATGTTACTATCTTAGTTGAATTACAGGCACAGTCATTTCCTTTTCTGTGGAGCAATCAGGTTTATCCTACATAAAAGTACAAGAACTGGTACAAATAACAAGTTTCTAAACAGTGGGAAAAACAAAAAAGGTAATTTGAAATATTTTGTGTTGCAGTTGATACTTTTGTGTCCTAAATCCTCATTCAGTTTTAGATGTCTCTAAATTGTTATTTACATCTTTATTAGTTGCAACTGAGAACAGCTATTAAAACTAGTGCCTCTGAGTCCCGGATCTTTAGCTATCACACTTAAGTCTTGGGAGCCAAAACCAAGAAACTTCAGTCTGATAGACATATGAATCTCTTTTAATTTGTTGTACAATGTGTTCTCTAAGGAATATATTTACTCCATATGAGGAAGACAACTGCAGCTTTCAGATATTTGCTCTCAAAAGATTTGTTTGTGTCTGATAATTGTATATGTCTTAACAAATGCAAAACTACGCATAATTGTAGAACGTAGCTCTGTCTGATGTGTGTATTGGGTGCCCAAGGGGCTTTAGTTGGATTGATTTGTACTTGTTCCTGAAATAAACGATTGAAGGGGGATATAATGCTAAGAACTCTTTATTACACCCTATTATTGTTTTCAAGGGCCTGGTATTTCTCCGAGAGGCATTGGAGAAGTTGACAAAGAAAGCAGTTGATGGCCACCACTTGCTGACCTAGAGTCTTCTTTATTTAAAACCTATGTCATTAAGCAGCCTCCATAGAGGCATTTCCTGTGGTAGTGATTCCTGATTAGTAGTTTGAGAAGCAACATAGACAAAGATTCCATCTCTGTTGTATGTGAGTGGAAAGAACACAACTCTTATAAACCTGTCTTATCCTGAAAGACTGGATAAGATTTTTTAAATTCAGAAAGTTACTAAGAGTTCTACATTAAAGGACATGATACTACAGATGCATTCTTTCTGATGAATTCTTCATGATCAAATAAAGAAATTAGTATGAAAATTTATTATTTTAAATACTTGAGAACATAACTGATTTAATTCCATGCACAAAATTCTTAATTTGTAGCTGTTCCTGCTTCACTGAATAACAGTGCTTGAAAGTTTTTGGTTAAAAGAAAAAAAAGTGTATTTTCCTGATAATTAGTGTAATAGTTTCACAGAGTATGGAACAGAGTAAGAAAAATCTCTTTCAGGCAACTGCGCTGAAATCAGATTTGAATTTTACAAGAAAACCTTTGCACCTTTTGGACAACTGAAGACAAGAAATGGAAGGTCTGATTTTCAAAAGTGTATGTTGAATTGGAAAGTAGAATTTTTGGAACTTCAGCCTAGAACATGTTGGAGGTATATAGGGTTGCATAGAAAGAGCTGCATTTCTCATACATTGATAATTAAGGGTGTTGAGGGGAATCCTCTAGACTCTAAAAGTAGGTAAATGTATTAATGATCTGCAGCTGCCTTTTTAAAAGGGTAGAAAAGCAGATTCACAATACCTTCATATGCATAAAAAACATTTGTTGGCCTCTATGCTATTTATTTGTTGAATGTTCAATTTAAAAAAAAAAACATAAAGGAACATATCACTAAGAATTGGAAATAATTTCACTTTTTTGTAACAAAATCTTAGTTGAGATGCATAAAAGCTAGGGGTTGTGCAACAGATTTCAGTATTATTCAGATTCATAAAAGTGCAGAAATTTGTATTAAATGCTAAATCTAGCTTCATTTCTTCTGCATGTTAAGTTTTCTTGGCATTCTCTTTGATTAGGACACTTTTGGAGAAGGGAAGGCTTCTGATCGGCTTTTAAACTCTCTTTTTGATAAATTACAAATCAATTAGATATTTTTAAATAGTGTATGTGCCTAAGCTTTGATTTATATTAGTGTTTACATGAGAATGCTCGTTTATAGTATGCAAGCTGAGCTGTCTAACAAGAAACTCTTTTTTAGATTTTCTTATTCGGCTGAAAAGTCTTTTAGGCAACTTCTAACCTTTGCAGTCCCATTCTGCTTGTAACTGTGACCTCATAAATGTACTCCAGCAAGAGAAATAATAGGAATTTATCACTAATTATAGTCACTCTTATAAAGATAATAGCAAAATGCTGTTCATAGGAGATTTTGTCTTATTATTTTATGTAACTCATTAACATTGCCATTATCAGTGACATATCTGTCCAGATGAAATAATAAAGAAAAAAAATTAACATATAAAGAAAGTGTGTTTCTGTTTAGATATATTTCCAACCTCAATGTAAAAAAGTGGCAAAGGAGGTAAAATACTGACACTAAAGTACCAGCAGTCTCTTTGGCAAAGTTCAGGAATATTAAAAGCAAAAAGGAAAGGGACTAGAAAATAAATTTTTTTAGTAAAATTTGCTTACCTGTATTTATAAAGAATGATGCTATAAAACAATAGAAGATAATTGGCTGCATGGTCTGTATGCTTACAGAGGTCCTTTTTGCTCTCTGTAGTGCTTGTGTTCCTCTGTAAGGGTACAAATGGACTTAGATTAGCTTATGATTAGCTCTACTTCTATGACTAGGTAGCCACCATTGCACAAGCTGGCTGAATGAAAGCTAGTGTGGATGTTCACAAACATTTCCATAGTTCTTTTTTTTCTTTTTTTTTTTAGTGTGCAACTGGCATTGGATATTCCCCTATGCATGTTACAACCTTGGTCTTCTTTAATGATGCTGTATCATAAAGCCTTCTTCAA